GATGAAAGCCAGATACTTGGAAGCTTCCACCTCTTCCAGAGCTTCTCCATCAAGTACGATTGAGTTGGTGTTCTCCGTGTTGTATTTGAGGATCTTGCCTTTTCCCTTGTGTATGTTGACTCTCACTGCTTTCGAGGCTGCTGTTACACTGACTATCTTCACCTGCATTTGTTGTTGTGTTTGGCATAGAAGAGTCGGTTTATCTGCGAAGTTCAAAGAACAGTAAATCGCGCATCGATAATCTTTAGATCAAAGAGAAGCTTATAATCAGGGGAATGTTGATATACATAATATAATTACTGAATAGTTATACCATAAGAATATGCAGATAATATTAGTCCATCAATAGGTCTCAGAAGTTACTCGCAATTTAATTTTTGCTATGATATAACACTGTGGACAACATTAATGCAACCTCTTGTGTGTCAAGTATTTTTTTCTTTATGATCAAAGTACAGCAACGTCTCTACCGAAGCTAATCTTTTCTGTCCAGCTTAGGTCGAATGGGTTTTACTTGTTCCGAGAACCTCCAGGTTGTTTCTCCTCGTTTCTTCAGCTATTTGGTTGGTCCTCTCTGTCTCCCACATTATCCTGACATTCCATGTACCTATATTATTCGTTGCTCTGATTGTTAGAAGGGATATCGTCGTCGTGAAGAATCTTGGTTTTCGCCATAAAACATCGTAATTCTTCTGCATGAAGATCCGTCAACCCCCAGGACAGAATTTAAATGGTATAAGTGATTTTTTCTGGATGGTGTTTTTTACGGGATGAAGTTGCAGACCCCCTGCCAAACCTTCCTCCTTTATCCTAACTTGGGACTGGCATTTACCTTCGAAGGTCTACAGATGGAGTTAATGTAAGACATACTATAAACATATAACAGTGATTACTTGTTCCTGTTCTTCCGTGGTATCTATTTTATTTTCATCATGAAATCACCAATTATTTTATCTTTGAAGAAATGGTAATTCAGTCCTCCATCGAAAAGAATACTGGTCCTAATATCTTGCATCTTGTGGCTGTCAACAGTGGAAAAACCAAATATATCACTTTGTATAATATCATAACCACGATACACCATAATCAGATGATATCTCAATAAATTCTTTTTTCCCCAAAAAGCAACTACCACTAATTAAATATTATCAGGCCTAGAGAGTAATAATAACCCCAAAGTAATGCTGTTCATAACAGTGTTGCGAGACAAAAAACAATTTCACTATCTAACAAACTATTTAATTCATTAAGGTTTATGCGGCATCTATCACTTTACAAAATGCAGGTAGCGCTGTAGTGATGCCGTTCACTTAATTACTTATTTTTTTCATACACTACTTATTAAAGAGAACTTTTCACTTAAAAGATTGATGAAAATCACGTTATACATTTCGAAAATAATGCTGTGCTCTGAATTTGTTGCACCTTAGATTATGAATTTAACTTTGATTTTATGTTCTACAATATTAAAATGTTTGTGATAAATGCTCATTAAAAATAATTTATGAATCATGTCCTTAAAAACAATGAAACTTTATATTTTCTAGATAATCCCTCTCCATTTATATTAACCTGATCATATCTGTAAATTGATGTGCATTTAACAATTATTTATAGAATCAGCTGTCATCATCCTTAATATTGTTAAGCTACAAATGTAGCCTGATACAATCTATTTAAAATGATGAATTCAAAGGTTTAATACTTACATTTAAAGCTCAATTCGATTTATTGTTTATATAGTTTTGTCTTAATTATATAACTTGCAACTAGACGGTTTGGATTTCGCAGATGATCTAGCTCTATTATCTTATACACAGTAACAAATGCAGGTGAAGATAGTCAGTGTAACAGCAGCCTCGAAAGCAGTGAGAGTCAACATACACAAGGGAAAAGGCAAGATCCTCAAATACAACACGGAGAACACCAACTCAATCGTACTTGATGGAGAAGCTCTGGAAGAGGTGGAAGCTTCCAAGTATCTGGCTTTCATCATTGATGATCAAGGATGATCGGATACAGATGTTAAGGCATGAGGACAGCATTCATACGAGAGAAGAACATATAGAACTCAAAACAACTATCAGCCAACGTAGAAGTCAGAATCTTCAATACAAACGCCAAGACAGTTCTACTGTACAGAGCTGAAAATTACAGAACTACAACAACCATCATCAAACATGTACAGGTATTGATAAACAGTTGTCTACGCAAGATACTCAATATCCATTGACCGCATACGATCAGCAACAGTCCACTGTGGTAGAGAACAAATCAGCTTCTAACTGAAGAGGAAGTAGAACATACTTTGAAGAAATCATGAAACTTGTTCACGAGGTGATCCATAATATGGAATGCTGACTGGAAGAGGAGAGAAGGGAGACCGAGGAACACGTTGCATCGAGAATCGGAGGCAGCCATCAATAGAATGGATGGCAACTGGGAACAACTGGGAAGGACAGCCGATGACAGAGTATGTTGGAGGATCCTGATGGATGTCTTATGCTCCTCCACGAGGAGTAACAGGCATAAGCAGGTATTATATAACTGTTAAGTAGCTACACTTGGCATTGTTTTCTTGAATCTTCCCATTGATGTTTAGGACTGCAATTGATTAGGCGCATCCAGCTGACGAGTCCCAAATAGGACGGAACGCGCGTCCTTGATTCCACTGTTAACCACTATCTATATTTGCTTGTTAAGTAACCAGAATATATATATCTATATTCCATTTATCATAAGCTTTTATTTGACCTATTGACCACTATTATACGATTTACTATTTTTCAGTTATTCGCAATGTATTAGTTATAACCTGGTTTGCTTGTATACAAACTACGTATGTCTGGAATATACGACTCATACAGTGGATGCTGAGATATTGTTTTGGACTCTCACGGACAGGACTGGGCAGGAAGAACTAATAAGGGCTTAGAGTCGACACCAGGCTGCTCTTACTGAACAACGCATCCTTGGTTTGGTACAGTACCAAGGTCATATCAGTCGTGTTCTAATTGGCGAATTAGACACGTCATAATTAACAGGCCAGAAATCATAACAATTTTACCTCAATCCAATCATCACTAAAAATTGGGAATATTGAACAACTACCTGGTTTTATTCATGGATTTATTAACTTCAATCACTCATGACGCTACTTTCAAAGTAAACTCCTACAACCGATAGTCTCGCTGCTTACAACCCCAAACCCATATAGAAAACAAAAGTTTCAAGGGCATTTCCATCTGAAAAATAATTCATTATTGATACACATTTGACAATTTGAATTCAATTATTCATATCCTAAAAAATAAACAAAGTTCATTACAGTTGTAACCGGAGATCATTTGTAAATGAGATCGAGTATAGAGTTTGCTTTTTAGCGAAGGGAGTTGAGAATATGTAGATATTTTAATTGTATAATAAATTTCATTCTTTTTTCTTTTTTAAAAAAAAATACAAAGACCAAAATTGGGTCAATGAGTAAAACAATAATTTCCATTTTAAAAAACAAAACAAGACAAAATACCTAGTGCATTGAGACCGGGATTGAAAAACAATATTTCTAATATTTTTGCATAGAAGTACTAAATGATTTTACCAAAAGAGCAATATCAAAATAAGTACAAAGGTAAAGAATACATAAATAAGGATTTGGAGCAGAAGTAACACTGTGTTACGTAATATTACCATAATTGAAAAATATTTTGACATTTTGTATGTTCAATTAGCTTGGATTTATATCTTATTCCATTTTGGTCTTTTAATAAAAATGTTTCTCTGTATATGGTTTAATGAAAGGTTTATCAAACGTTGTAGTTCATTCAAATAATTCTTTCCAATGAATGGTCATAAAGGTTTATTTGCAAAATATTGCAAGATATTGTGAATACAATTATGTATTTCAGGAGAAACCTAACAAAGTAATATCCTGAAGTTAAATTATTTGAGATGTACATAAACTAAATTTAAGTCGAGGTTACTTATCGGTTTTGTTTGAATCATATTTTTAGCCTTTTGGAAGATGAATCTTGTCTACATTACTTTCTACAACTAAATAATAAACAGTAGATAACAAGAAGACAGGCTTAGTATCTGATGAATATCCGGTTTAATAAGTGATCACATAAGCATCTGATGTTGTCACTCAAAGCCTCAGGGGTCTGTTATTGCATATCTGTCGTTATTAATGCTGAATATAATACTTTCTGGATCCCTTATGATATACTCGTTCCAATTATTCATTTAATAAAATTCTACTTTCCATAGATTGCTTATTCATAAAGGATTGAAATAATCTAGGGGACAGGTGAAGACCAGAGACACTTGACAGTACTTTTGTTCTTGTCTAGAACGTATTAACAGTGCTAACCAACAGACACGCTAAAGATCGGACCCAGAATTTTCTCAGTGATACAACCATAAGCAATGTAGAACCTAGAACATATGCATGGATTTGAGTTGCCACTGCATATCAGCACAACGAGATGCAGTTATCAAGAAAAGTATAAGAGCAGTGGAAGTATCGATATTATGAATGGTACTAGAAAGTATCAAGTGGGTTACCTCTAGACAACTAAGTACAACTTCAATTTGAATAACCACACCAATTTTCATCCGTAATAGCTTTTTCACTTTCGAAATTATTCGGTTTTGTTGACGGCATCATCGTGATTGAGAAAAGATGAGGAGTCTCAAACTGCAACTGACAACTAGTTTAATATCCCCTGGTTTTCAATACTTCACAAGTTGATATCATTCTCTGGCGATATAACCGAACGATATAATCACATTAAAGTAATCTCTATAACGTACTGAAATTTACAAAATCTGCTACTTCATAAACATTTCTATTCAAGAAAGTATGCTTATTGGTTTAAAGCATAAACAAAATTTATTGATCTATGTTAAACAATCTGTTTGTAACCATGCTAGTGACAATTATTTTAAGCACTATATAAACGTGAAAATCATGTGATACTTTCAATGAACCAGGTGATTTTACTTTCATATGTATGTCTGTGTGCATAGATCATTCTATCAAAAGTGTGCTTTTACACTAAATTGTATAAAACATATTGATAGGCTTGATTTCACGTTTCGAAAAGTTATGTATATTGAATAATATTTTGTGTATTAGTGAATAAATAATAAAGATGTTTATTTTATATTTATTAAAGAAGCAATTATATTCGGAATTAAAACTTGAAGTATTGTCAATTTAAATTATTGTTGTATCATAAAACACTTCACTGTGTATCATTATCACATATATGTATGTGTCTTTCTGACGTATATAAACAAATACAATGGTAGAAATGAAAGGAAAATTTGTAAATTCAATGGGTCCATTTGATATTTGTCAAAAATTACATCAACAGCAAAGGTTAGTTATTTCTTTCTTTTTTTTTTTAAGAATTAATAAGATGATTCCCTTTTTTAGCCTATCAATAAAAGTTAAACAAATTTGAATTGGTGACTGAAAATATTTAAATATTTTTCATGTTGAGATTCGGTGCTTTCTCTTAGTTTTTAGACAAGGAATGATGAGACTATAATTTATGGACAGTCTTTGAGCGGTGCTAAAATGACCTTGATCATTTCCTCCCACTAATTAGGACTGAATGCGGGTTATAAAATAGTTTGAAGAATAAGGATCATGATTTACATTTGATGGTTAGGGTTCGAAATTAGATTTAAGATTTTCATCACGAATTGGCATCATCTAAAATGCCAATACGCTATTCGGCCAAATGGTTAAATAAATTTCGCACCAAAATTCAAGATCTGTTATCCTAAATCTGATTGGTTCGTCCGTAAATCATAGTCTCACCCAAATGACTTACTTAAAGTGAATTTTTTCTACGGTACACCATTTAGTACTAAAGAATAATAACAAAATTAATGACATGTATAAGAGAACTAGCTTACGGTGGATGTACCGAAGTCTTTATCCAAGAGATTATTACATGTATGTTTGATGTTGAAGATAGAATATTTTATTAAACAATCTTTGGATTTTTTTTCAATGTCATCTAGAATAAAATGAACCTGCAAATTCAAATATCTTAATACATTATGAGTTTACTTGGGTATTTATTCCAGTTTTTAATTTTTTGAGATGTGTACTTACTTTCGTTAAAAAATCTTTAAGGATCTCTTTTTATTCTACTGACTCTCAAATGAATACACTAGTTAATATAGACAAATAATATGTTCATTTTACCCATCAATATGCTCCTTTCAAGATTGATTAACACTATCGTTATCAAGAAGGGGTAATATAACATTTCTATGTAAAGATGTTTGTCTAAAATTTGACACAACTACCAGTCAATCATGGTCGCAATATTTACAGATTTATCACTTAGTAAATTTTAACAGAATCATCTTCATTTACATTAAATTCAACTCAATGATGAGATGTCAATAAAATAAAGACAGTCTGCATTAGTATATAACTAAAATTACTCAGTGACTTATTGATTTTTGATCTCTTATATATTTCAATCTTCATGATGTGATGGTGGGTTTATGCATCGGTCTGTTTTGATTTTTAACTTAATTTTATATTGTTATTGTTTAGGACTGCAATTGATCGGTCTCTTATCGGCATGTGTGTATCCTGTGTGAACTGCGTCGATATTGCTTTAAGTCACAAGTTTTATAAGCAAAGATGAATGGTGCCTAGCAGTAGAATCCTGGACGCGTGTTTTATCCTACTTGGGACTCGTCAGCTGGATGTGCCTGCATTCCAGAGTTGAAGCGAACGGCACTGGGTTCGAATCCCAGAGTGAACATCAGCTCTGAGATGCAGGTAGATCCAGATGACGAGTTTAGACTAGTACAAAACGTGCTTTCGAGATTCTACTGCTAGCCGTCATCCATCTTTGTTTATAGAGATTAATATAATGTTTAAAATACAAAATTTTATTTACATCAGCGACACTCTATGATATTATGTTTATCGAGTAAAAGCATTCGTGTTTGTAAATGAACTCTATTACATTGAAAACTTAAATTCTGGAAAATCTTCTTATTCTAAGGTGAACTATACTCAAATAATACATTTTGTCTGTAAATTAATTTTCACTTTGTTAATTTCTTAAATAATTTCATAAAATGGAAACTGATTTCACCTTAATGTGCCAATCAATATCTGATTTTATTTCAATATCATTGAATGTGATATGAATAACATTGAGATGAGAAATAAGAATTTATCACTGAGTATACGCATGTCATTCAAGTATGTATATGTATAATCATAGAAATGACATGTTTCTCGTACTGATATTATGTCTCAGTATATCTCAATATCTTTCAAACAATTCGCTATAATAAAAAGGTTATTAATATGATTATATGTACAATTATTCTTTGTTTTACTATTTTAGAACTAAACAAAATGATTGTGGTTTTTTATTAGAATGTGAATCACATAGTCAAATAGTGCATAAATGTGTATTACGTGCTGTCTCAACAAAAATTGATCAATTCTGTATGACAGAAGAAGAAAATGTAGAATGTTCAACTGATAATATTAATATAAATTGTTATGATAACATTAATAATAATAATAATAATAATAACAATCACGTTAGTAACACAGTAAAACAATCAAAGAATTCATTTTATTTAGGTCGTATATCTGCGAAAACATTGGATACTTTTGTAAAATATATTTATCAATCAGGTTTGTCTGTGTTTTTTTTTCTTCTTTCAAAAATGGTTATTGATAATATTGATTATTGATTATTGTGAACAACATAAGCACTGCCAATTAATAAAATGGGTTGAAAATATTCTTCTGTATAGGCAGAATGTGACTGAGTTTTTCTTCTTTTTTTATTGTAAAGACTATGATGATGTAATAAGTTAATGTATTCAAGAAACAATTTTAAGTTATTAGATTGTCTTTAATAGCTTAGAAGATGTGTTTTATAATGAGATTGTTATGCATATGATATTTTCAAGGATTTACTAAGTTTCTGAGTGATAGAGGTATCGATTCAAATGAATAATCAATATGATGATTCTATTCACTTGACAATAAAATTCAGTACATTTGAGTTTAGTTAAAAGAAATCCAAGATTCTACTGGTTGATTTTTTTTATTCACAGTGAAAACAATTTGAATGTAGTTGTGGGATAAGTTCCGCTTCAATGTATTTCATTGTATTAATGTCTGTAAATTCACAAGGTAACTTCATTACTTTTTAGGTTATGATTTTAGATATAATTCCGAAATGCTCTGTAGCTATAACAACAATTAAAATAACTGTCTACCATTCTATTTTTAGCAATCGCAATTTGACATCAGTTCTCTGAAGAATGTAAATATGTTTTACTGATTAGTACTAAATAGTATTAACCATTACTTACTTACTTACTTACTTACGCCTGTTACTCCCAATGGAGCATAGGCCGCTGACCAGCATTCTCCAACCCACTCTATCCTGGGCCTTGTTTTCTAGTTCCATCCAATTCTTGTTCATTTTTCTCATGTCTATCTCCATTTCCCGGCGTAATGTGTTCTTTGGTCTTCCTCTTTTCCTTTGACCTTCAGGATTCCATGTGAGGGCTTGTCTTGTGACACAGTTGGGTGCTTTCCTCAATGTGTGTCCTATCCACTTCAGTATTAACCATAACTACAGAGATTTCTATTGACTACGTAGTTTCAAATAAAGTAAAGAGTAACATAATTTCACTTACTCTAGTGGATACATTGCAACATAATGTCGATAGAATTTCATCAGTTCTCACGACAAGACAAACTTCAGTTGTTATTAGATACACAATAATTATGAAGTATGAGTTTATAATTGTCCTTTTTAAAAACGATTGCATTCAAATTTGCCAGTATATTGTTTCATTTCGTTGTATTATTGATAAATAATAATGGAAAGTAGTAAATTTAGTTAATCTGTGTTATACTTACTTTTAAGGAATTCCAATGTAGAAAGCGTACAGGCTACGTGAGATCGCTGAATGTTCATTTTCTGAAATGTAGTTCATATTAACCAGATATTTATTTACAATACTACCTACTTATGACAATCAGATGTTATTCAACTCATCTCTGGAAGTCTTTAGAAGTTATGTTCTTCAGATGCCTTATGTTTCATGTCTTCTCGTCATCTCACTACCTCTGTATCACTCTCTACATGAAAGTTTTGTGATCCAGAAATAAAGAAACAATATCATAAGATGCTAAATCTGATGAGTAGAGATTTTAAGAAATTAGGTTTTCAGTGTCTCAGTTTCAGCATTTATTGAACATGATATGACACAACTTCCAATTACTATCAGTTGAATAAAAACGGAGAAACGTCTTTATATTGTTACAAAATGTTATCCATTTAAGTACAGTGTGATTTATCTTTTGTTTAATGATGTTTACAAATAAAAATCTATTATCTCACTTTATGTATTTTTACTGAGAATATTTAATTGTTTACTTCATAACTTTGATGTAATTAAACAAATATTAAAATATAATACGAGATGTTGATCTAATATACTTATTTAAGTAGCATATTATTTGTAAACCTACTCCTCAAGTCGTCAATCTTATTAGTTACATAGTTCACAATTCAAATGTTAGCTAGAAATAAGTAAAGAAAATAGGTAGATGGAGTTTAACATCTGTAATATGAGCTGTAAACAGATTTCTTGATAGAAACATAGGTCACATATGTCATATGCAGGAAAAAGAGACCAAGCAAAATATCTTAGCTAGTTCACTGATCTGATAACTACCACCAACATGATCAACGTAACTGAGTAGCTGCATAATTCTTGAAAGAAGATTAATAATCCTAGTCTTATGAGGACACCTTTAATTGAGTATTTTATTTTTAAAGGATTTTTTCGTACTCCAGGATGTCAAAATAGGTAGAGTATAAGTGTTTTTGTGGTTGATGTATTAGAATGTTATTGTTGCCACTATTACTGACAGAATCTTCAGATGTTTTCAAACTTCTATTTTCCATTGAAATAGTTCAACATATTCGTTTGTGAACACATTACTTTTAACATAAGCGAACACCACAAGTGTATATATTTATAGTCAGTTGACCCCCTTGAAAAACTTAGTGATTCATGATTTCTTTTTCAAAACAATTATTCTGCACTTGATCTTGTATTGTCGTGTTGAAAAAGAAGTTCTACCTAATGGATTACTAATTTACGCTAGATTAGAGATATATGGATTTAGATGTGCTGTTTTTGGTTGGTAGTCATGTTAGTTTATTGCGAAGATGTAAGTGATGTGTAAATTTTCTGATAGAGTATCATTCTGTGTAATTTCCACTGACATCGGTTATTACAGCTTTCAAAATGAAGTCAGATTACTTTTTCTGTGTATGTGTTAAGACATTATGTTTGATTATTAACTAGTTCAATTGAATGTTATTAAAAAATTGTAAAACACAATCTAGCATTCACTTGGTGTTGTTTACTTGTATCTTCCCTGGTACATCCAGCTAACGAGTCCAAAATAGCACGAAACCCTCATCCTGGATTCCACTGCTAGCCACTATCCATCTTCACGATTTTATATATTCAAAAACTAGTTATTCTGAAGAAAAAACCAACCACAAAAAGTTATTTCATTAAGCTTTCCATATTCCTGAATAATCTCAAGTGAAATACCATTGAAAATCAGTAATAAAACACATTCCCAGTAGAATCAAATTATGATCCTTTGATAAAATTTTAATAAATTCTACACTTCTCTTTATAATATATTTCGATTGTTTACACTGATACTTCTTTACCTTTTTTTAAAATATGTTTCATTATCCAGAGATTACAATTGATGATCTAACTGTAATTGAATTGTACAATGTTGGTGTTTTATTAAACATACAATTTATTCAAGATGCATGTATCAACTATTTGAAAACAAGTTTAAATGAGAATAATTGTTTAATATTCATGAGACAAAATAATAATGTAAATAATTATGAAGTAAATCAATTAGCTAATGAATGTATTAAACATGCAGCAAAACATTTTGAGTAAGTATACAAGTAAACTTAGATAATCTGAAACATTAATTATTAATATAAAATGTTATAAATGGTAAGACTATAATTTATGGATGAAACAATTCATGTCTAAGATAACAAATCTTGGATTTTAACGTGGAATTCATTCATCCATTTGGATAAATAAAGTTTTGGCATTATAGCTGATGTCAGTTTATGATAAGAAGCCTAAATACAATTTCTAATCTTAATCATCAACTGTAAATCATAATTATAATTCCTCACAAAGGTTTATAACCCTCATTTAGTAGCAGACACTCTCAAGGTCAGTCTAGTGTCACTCAAAGGTATTTCATAAATTATAGTCTCACCAAATGTTGTAAAGTATATCAATTTTGACAATAATAAACTCCTAATGTATATGTTATTAGACCAGATAATCTCGTATTTTGATAAATAAGGATTCTCGAATTGTTAGGAACAAATAGACCAAATAATAGTGTGTAAGAACAAGATAAAAAACATTAAGTCTATCGATATATCATTTGACTGACTATTACCTTATAACAATAACTAAAGAATTTAATTTTCTGTTCGAGCAAGCTGTTGACTGAATTTGGTAAAATATCATGGGATATAAAGTATCACGGAAGCGTGAAGTAAAACAGTGCTTGGCTGTTTTATGTTAAAAAAAATACAGGTATTAAGCACTTTACTATAGAGTAATCACTTCTTGAATTTCTATAAAAATGCTAACTCTGCACAGTAATAATTAACAAATAATGTGCGAACCACCGGACATTGATTCACTGATTAAAATGTCAACTTATTATATTGTGCCACGAAGAAAGTGTATTGGACCCCTAATACGGTAGTGGATGTATGTTGACGTGGAGTCCGATTTTAAGAATCAATGGCCTACCAAATATTAGTTTTTGATGTAACCCAAAATATGTTGGATGGTAACTACGTAGATAGGTTGAAGATATACTCCCTAAATACTATAATACTATGTATTGAAATAAAAAAACGTCATGAGCCATGAAGTATTAAGAAACAGGATCGAACTATTTAATTGTTTGGAGGTAAACCTTTTTCACTGACTGATGTTAGCCAATAAATGCTAAGAAATATAAAAAAAACATTTGGTACATCTCTACAGTGAACATTTACAAATGCATACGTAATGTAACCGGAATACTTTTAGGTTTCCCGGTGAATATAGTAACTTTAGATCATTTAGCTTGAGATTACTGAGTTATGTGTCAACTTTGATGAATTTATGATACTTCACGACGATCATTCATTATTATTGATGACGTCAATCTTAATCATGATATCAGTTAACCTTCAAGAATTAAATCAATAAATGATAAAACTTACAGTTAATTCTTGAATTATGTACATGAATTAACAATTACTTATTACTTACTGGTTCTATGAAAACAAATAAAAACCTGAGAAAATATGTAAATTATACGTAGAGAAAAAAAAAAAACAAAAAAAACACTATTGATTTTTATGATATTTTATTTTGATAATTTGTGATACTGAGTTTATTTAGTCACTTAGCCATTTGCTATATGGAGGTTAATTGAAACTAAAATCAATAGTTTGTATTTAATTGAAAAGAAAGAAAATATAATTTTGACCATACTCATTATATTGTTATTTATTTTAATGTAGAATTTGCTAAGTTCAAATGAATATGTAGTCACATATTTGATTTCTATGTTTATAGCAAAAACAAGTCTGAAGTCCACAATTCGTGTATCCAGTTAGCAGATATATGTATAAAGCTGGATTATGTAAGGAAATACAGACAATCAATAAGCGTATAATAAGTCCTGATACTATGTTATATAATTCAGATGATGATAAATAACACAAGATTATGAGCGAAGGAAGGAGTCTAGAACTAACTAGTTAAATATCAGAAGGGGTTTTGTGGATATTATAGTATATTATTATCATAGTTGAGATCACGAATCAATTGAAGCTAGACCACCCTGGAAGAACTGGAAGCACTGGACGGTTGTTTCGCCCTACCGTGGGACTCCTCAGTAGAGTGAATCCACGATCAAATTATAATGTGAATAAAGTAAGATAACTGAAAAGTTCGTATTATAATAATTAAGGCGTTAGAAGAATTGAAAAAAATCATACTGGATATGGCTATTAATAAAATTTAAAAGGACAAGAGCAGATGGATACACTTTTAAGTATACACTTAGTCAAATGAAAATAATCATGGGGTAAGACTATATTAAAGACAAGTTCAAAATAAATTTCTTTTATACATGAATGTTCAGACTTGTTCTGATGGTTATCTTAAGTTTCTGTTACTTAACAAAGTTAGTAGATTTGGACGAATTCTATAAATAGGCTAGTTGAGTAGTTACAGTCAAGGATGAAACTTCTAATCGCTCACTTCTCATTTATTATAAAAACCAAGCTGAAACCTATTAGCAAATTTGTGTTGAATCATAATATTCCAATACTTTCTTCAGATTAATTCATACAGTTGCATCATTTTGTCGAAAATTTTTATTTGACTAAAAATAATTAATTATGTTAGTGAGAAATAAAACTCGATTACTTTAGTCTACTTATATAACAAAACAAGTTTTTACATTTCATCGTAGACTGATTTTGCATAAAGTTTTTGGCTTTTTATGAAGTGTTCTTTAAAATAACATACTTCTACGTAAAGTTATTTACCTTCATCGTATTCACTGTTTCCTTTCTTTCTCTTTTTTTTATCTTTGAAGCAAAATGTTAGATAATCATGAGACTATGAACATTGAACCTAAAGAACTATTAGCAATACTAGAACAAGATGACTTCAAAGTTCAAGATGAATGGAAACTTCTGGAATTTATACATATATGGATTAAAAAGGATTATGACAATCGTCACACATATAAAGAACAACTATGTGAGCATATACGTTTTCAATTGATAGACACAATGAAGTTACTTGATATATTAGAAAATCAAGAGATGAATATATTTCATTCATATGTAAAAAACGCGCTTATTGATTTAGGTCAGTTATCAAGGTCAGTAGCAATAGCCAAATGGAATCGTAAAGTAAGTTAGTAAGGTAAAATTATCAATGTGTATTTTACACTTCTTGCAATATTCAACTAGTTCTTCTTTTTAAATAAGCAATATTAAGCAAATGTTTATATTTCAGTGGAGTTGGCATTTTCGCACAGCACTTCAGTGCTATTAGATATATATAATAATCAAGATTACATAATATTCATTTAAGTAAATTGTTTGTATATAATAAACTGTTCATTGCTATCATGGAAAATTCATTAGCAACAAGTTAACTTATTTAAACAATGTCAGCAAAACACTTCAAATGTGAAAATTCTATCAAAGTTTATTCGTAAGTACCTATAAGTTAGGAACAGTGTAGTGTAATAAAAGTTGTGATCAATATACTACCAAAATTTTAAAAGCTCTATCCCTGAGAAATAAAGATACCAAGACCAATCGATGTTTGGGGGCGGGTGAGCACCGTTAAAGAGTTCTATACTAAGACGACCTAGATGTCCACTGTTTCTTGTTTTCCATTGGTTATCTAACTAAAGTCAGACTTTAGTGTTAAACGATAAAAACTCACTAATCTTTAAGATTTTAAATATCAGTGAGGATAATTATATTTGCTAATACCATCGTTGAAAAATGTTTTTCATCTCATAAGTCTAACTGTCTTGTAATTAAGTCAGGACTTTGAAGTTTAACGGCCAGTCTTACATCATTCATCCAGTGAAGTGTTATCCGATGGTTCAAATATATAGTAGTGATTAGTCAGGTTTGAAGTGAACCAGCTATCCACCTATCATATTCGTTGAGAAGCGCATTATATCACGAATTATCAGAAGATGACAATTGTAAACCACTCGATACTAACTAGTTAATTCCGTAAGTCTGAGTCTATGTGAGGTTATGAGTGTTCATTTTTAAATCGTCATAAACTAGGGTAAAATTATTGCTCAATATTATCATTAAGCAAACGGAATATACCCCTTAAGACGTAAAACAGGAAAAATTGATTCAGTGAAGTGTTTTCTTCCCGGAGAAGTCGTGTTCAAAAGCTGTACAATCGCAAATATATACTTCTGTTTCAAAATGATAATAATTACAGTAATAGTGATAATAAAATTCTACTAAACATGGTAACAGTGAGGTAGAATAAACAAAAGTGATATAACGTTCTTTTTACCAAAGAAACTAATCATAATTTTGTTGTTGAGTGTTTGAATATTCATCATGAAGATAAGTAAATAAATTCTAACTGGGAAGGGAAGGCTAAGCATGACAAGATAATCTGTTAAAATTGAGATGAACTGTAATCATGAGAATCATACACACAGAAATAAACCTGTTGGGGGTAAAAAGTCTATAGAGACCTCTATAACATTTTATTGCCTTTGTTTATTCTAACTCACTGTTACCATGTTTAATAGAATTTTATTATCGCTATTACTGTAATTATTATCATTTTGAAACAGAAGTATATATTTGCGATTGTACAGCTTCTGAACACGAATTCTCCGAGGACAGAACTCTTCACAGAACCAATCTTTCTTATGTCTCAATAATATTATGTTACTAAAAGATCTTCAAATGATGTTACTTTGACATGAAAAGTAAATTAAATTAATGTAACATCTATTCAAGTAAGAATCTACTTATATACATATGAATGACTAGTGATATAATTTACATCATACATATTTTTCAGTCAAATCATTCTATAGACAAAGAGTTGACGTTGACTAATCTACCGGTATGCGATTTGAATAGTGACTCGCCAAAACAAACTACAGAAAATGTAAGTCATTTTTGAGTACATTTTAACATTCTTATACTGACCAAACCACTTTGTTTTTCTTTAAGTATTCAAAGTATTTAAGGCATCTACTTCCAATTTAGTTATTCTATCTAATATTATTGTTTAACGAAGTTTTGTTTAAACATATAGATAACTTATTATAGGGTTAATAAATGAAAGTTAATCAAATCACCTGATTCGTTGTATTTCCAATTATGTTCTTAGGAATATAACATAGTTATTAGACTTTAACAATGAGTGACAGTTGTCAACAGATATATTCCCGGAGTAACTGACTATAATTCAACCAAATCGAATAATCAAACATGTTAATTCATGACTTATAAAGTATTTAATTCTAAATTCATAAGATCGTTATGACCAAGACATAAATGAATCGATCTGTCATCACAAGATGTTTCTTATGCAATTAAATAAATTGATTAAAATTCAGTTGCATTTCGATCAGAATTCGTTAGAAGATAAACGGAACTGTTAAATATGTGTTAATTTAAATATGTGCTTTGTGGACAAAAGTAATATTGGGTTCTGATCGCTATAAATTAGTACAAATGAAAGAATCCTAAAATAAGCACTTTTGAAGTGATGTAGAAAATCAATGACGGCTTCCCAATGAATAATCATAATATATTTCCAACAAAGCGGGTACACACCATTTTTACAAGTATGATGAGGTTTCCAATAAGTGTTTACAGATAGAGTGGATGCCCAACAGAGTTGTTAAGATGTAGCATTCAGAAATCAGCAATGATTTACAGGATAGTGTTCAAGGAGGTTTACTTGAAAATTATTTGTATAGTAGAACTGTTTGATAAGTTTACAGTAATGATTGAAAGGCACTTAGTATAAGTTGTGACCATGAAGAACACGTACGTAAGGTTTGTGTATCGGGCGTAAGAATCTCCATAGCTGTGCACTACAAATGAGGTACGGAAAAGAAGAGAATAAAGAGCATCAAGTCTATTGGGTACAAGACCTTAACAACTCTTAACCATTTGAAGTATGGCAAAAGTCATTCAATTTGAAGGACTCAACACCATCATCGTTATCATCATGGTGTTCATTTGAGAATTTTATCGGTAGATAATTATTAACAGTATTCTGCATTAATTGTTATTTCTTTTCAATGGTTGAGATCATGAATCAATTGAAGCTAGACCACAATGGAAAACCTGGAAGCACTGGAAGTCCGTTTCGTCTTATTGTTTTCCATGGTGGTCTAGCTTCAACTGACTCATGATCTCAACCATTGAAATTATTATAATATCCACAAAAAACCCTTCTGATGTTATTTTGTTTTAAAAAGAAATATTTCTTGTTACTTCAGACATCTTTGATATGCTTTGGTGGACGATTATGTAACAAAAGTTTCTCATCAAATATAACATGTTATAAAATTTTTGAAATGAGATCATTTATTAATCAGAATGAAAATTTATGCCTGGATCCATATCAAAATTATAATATTGATGAAAATTATGCAAATAATAATTATATGGAATCATGTACATTTCCTTATTTAAAACAAATAATTTTACCAAATTTAAAAACTATGCCTTCTTTAAGAAAAGGTTTTGGGGCTATCAATTTAAATGATAAAATTTATCTTGTTGGTGGAAAACCCAAATGTTCAATGAAAACATCTAATATTTACGATATTTCATTAGGTTTATGGTCTAGTGGACCAAATTTAAATATTGGACGAAGTTGGTATTCAATTACGGAATGTGATGGTGTGATGTATGCTATAGGAGGTGTCGGAGAAGACGGTAAGCGTTTTTTTAATAATTTAAGTGAATAAGAATGTATGTAGGTGTTAAAATTAACTATGTAGGTTTCCAAATATTACCTAACGATTTGAGTTTCAGACAGATATTATTAATAGAGGTGGGTGATGTTCAAACAATATCTTGAATTCAATTAAGTTTGAAGTATAAAGCTCGAGGTATAGACGTCATAGTATAGGAGTAACATGATCTCTACAGGGCCTGAAAGTCATAGATTTGATTCCTTATGGGGTTTTGTGTGCAAAATGGTGAGAAGTTTTAATTTAAGAAGGAACCACTCTCCACTGTCTCATAATTCTATATGATTGTCTAGCTAAGATCAATCTATAGTATTAACTACAGGTGTTGTTCAGTTAGGTCACAAAACATTTCTCTAACACCGTTTTAAATCGACCAGTTGAGTACAATCCTGACTAGAAATTCAAAACGCTCATTGCCAGCATTTTGATTCATTTGTTTCTTTTTATCTCTACAGATCAAAATTTATCATCCGTTGAGATGTTGGACCCACGAGTAAATAAGTGGGAATCATGTTCGTCAATGTTAAGACCACGATTTGGTTGTAGCGTTTGCTCTACCAATAATGAAATTATAGTTGTTGGTGGGGTCAGCGATTCAACTATCGAGATGTATGATATTACGTCAGGAAAATGGCAGTTTTTAGCGAAAATGACTGAAGTGTAAGTATTCACGATCATTTTGTTAGCACAAATCTTATTATGCCAAAGTAAGATGAACAAAGTTTTTTCAAATTGTTTCATTGTGGAGTTATTACAGTAGATCTCTGAAGTAGTAGCTTACTTTATTTTTCTAATCATTATATTGCTTTTCGGGTTGTCTTTAGTAGTAAGTTAAAGCTGGGGAACGCTTTAGGTTTATAACGATACCAGCCGCCAAACTACTAGACTTTTGAGAGCAGAAAACTCCACAGGATCACATGCATCTGGAACAGAATTTTATAATTTATTCCCAGCTCTGTAAGGTGGAACCTGATGCACAATTTTTTAGCCTAGTTAATTAGTCGTGTAAGGCTAGTTATGGTGTTGGAGACAGCTGTTTCACTCCCGACTTGGTTGAACCCCATCAGTCAAGCTTTCTCTCTAGAAAGTCTAAAGCTCCAGTGTGTCTAGAGCTAGGAAATCACCTAACATAGTTCATTATCATATTTAAGGGTAAGCATTTTCTCACTGTTGATTTTCAGGAATACATCTTATCGATATCTGATAACACGTGGACATGGTGTGTGAATACAGCGATATTGCCTATAGCCGTAAATTGATTTCAATCTGCAAAGTTATTTGTAATGAAATATATTAACACAGTAATGCTAACAATCTTTCCCGAGTTTTATAATACAACCTAAAAGACATAAGCCCAAACATGATTGCTTCAACAGTGCAATATATTTTGATTATGGTGGTACAGAATAAATTCCCATTAACCATTTTGTATATGTTCATTTGATGAAGAATGAGAATCATTACAAATCATCGTTTTTCACCACAAATTAATCATTTACTGTAGTTTAATGTCATCTTTTACCGTTTTAAATGTGAGAAAGTTATTATTCTTTTAAGTTGAAATCCATAATAATTCGATAATGTCCGTAAAGAACGTACTGTATATTCACTCAAAGATACACTCTGTTTGGATATGAACCTTAGAAAACCATATTTTTAAAACAGAAACTTTATCAAAACATAATTCACTTGGAAATAAGTATATGATTTATTGTATTGCATTTAGATATTTACTTCAAAATACTCTCCAGATGATAAAATTTTGTTCTTTTTAAATACAGTCAATCTGTTAGTCATCTGGATAATTAATGGTTTGCACAAAAGTTGTCCACTGATGAAATGGGTGCTTACAAATTCAAGTAGTTGGATGATAAAATCATCATCAATAGATATGAAGTTTGTCAGGTCATTTGATAAGTGTCAAAGTATTCTCTCTTAATTCACTGAATAACATATGAGATGTTACATTTATTAATCAAAATATGGGTAGGTAGTCAGAAATATACGTATTAAATGACTGGGTTGTAAAGATTCCTATGTATTCTCACATTTCCTCTACCTTGGTCTCCATAAACTGAAAAAGTACGAATAAGGTATTATCTGTATTATTTTTCTGTTTGGGTTTGTGGAGATCATTGAATTTAATTCAAATGTTAGACAACCATTGAAAATATGGAAGCAGTGAACGACCATTTTGTCCTCGTATGGGACTCCACAGCACTGCGCATCCACGATTCCGTACTCGAGACTCAAACCCAAGACCTCCGGTTTCACGTCTTCGCTTAACCTCAAGGCATAAACACTATTCGATACCGACCAGGTAATCAGCGAGACCAAAGGTCTTGGGTCTGAATCTCGAGTACAAAACCATGGATGAGCACTGCTGGTGAATCCCACACTAGGAAAAACGGCCGTCCAGTGCCTCCAGGTTTTTAGTGGTGGTCTAACATTGGCCGATTCATGATTTCGATGAAATATTATTTTTGACCAACCTTACTACTTTTAGACCTTTGTAAGTAACCAAAGTCTAATCTTATACTGTTTTCAAATTGCATCAGACAAAAAGCATAAATTCTAAAAATATAGACTTATAGTTTACAACTATTCTCTGAATTGATAGTCTTATATGACAAGAAGTACGTTTTCTTCATCAAATTTTACGAAAATGAACCTCGTCTGTAGTTTTGTATGAACTGCAAAACAATTGAAAAATATCAGAAGGGGTTTGTGGAGATTTTTAGAAATTTTCACAGATTGAAATCATGAGTCAGTTGAAGCTAGACCACCATTGAAAACCTGGAAGCACTGGACGGCCGTTTCGTCCTAGTATGGGACTCCTCAGCAGTGCGCATCCACGGCCCCGCACCACGCGGGGCTCGAATCCAGGACCTACTGACTTCGCGCGCGAGCACTTAACCATTAGACCACTGAGCCGGCATCCAACGGTGTAAATGTCTAACTTCAACCAATCCACGAAGTTGCGCCACCGTATACCATTGTCTTCAGTGAGCTGATATCTCACAACAGACCTGGTTGTACTCCACTGGCAACGGCTTCCCACTAGAACTCCAGGAGTATCTCTTGAAATCAGTCACTAGTGAGCAGATGATTGGTTGAAGATAGGCATTTACACCGTTGGATGCCGGCTCAGTGGTCTAATGGTTAAGTGCTCGCGCGCGAAGTCAGTAGGTCCTGGATTCGAGCCCCGCGTGGTGCGGGGCCGTGGATGCGCACTGCTGAGGAGTCCCATACTAGGACGAAACGGCCGTCCAGTGCTTCCAGGTTTTCAATGGTGGTCTAGCTTCAACTGACTCATGACTTCAATCTGTGAAAATTGAAAAAAAACTAAAGAGAACTGATAAGTTAGTTCCTTTTAGATTATTTAAAACTCTCAGCTGTATTGACCCGTAACCTATGCATTTGGTAAACCTAAGGCTCACAGGAATGGTGGAGTATTTATCAATCTTTTATATCAAACGTTAATTAATTATTCATATTAAATGAAAGTCATGTTTTTCTCAGTCTATTTTAATTTTGATAGACAGTTTGGTTAAAACCTATTTTATTAAGATAAATGTGTGTTTGGTAATTCAAGTGTATGGAAGAATATAAGATAAAAAACTGGAATTATTACAACCAAGGGTTACGTGTAAAATTAAAGTCAAATTAGATCAAAATTCATTATTTCTTGTAAGCATTATTTAAACATGAATAATTAAGGAAATGTTTTATATTGTTTCAATGCTTAAGTTTAGCAAGCATATATATGCAACAATTAGAAATCTTAAACAGAGTTGGATAATGGGGTCTATGATGCTTGTTTTGTTCTATTTGAAACTCGTCAACCAAATATCTTTGAGCCCGTGTTGATGTTTACACAAGGACCCGTATCCAGTTACTCTCACTTTAAACTCCAAATACTGAATTTCACCAGCTATTGGCTCGTGCAACAGCGATAAATTTTAAGTCAGTTATCAAGGGTTCTTTAATCTTCCCGTCATTGATGTTAAGAACTGTAAATGATCAGTCTTTCTTGGCATAAGTACATCCTAAGAGAATTGTCTCAACACTGTCATTAAGTCATAAAGGTTTTTAGCAGAGTTAACAATTGTTGAAACGAAAACAATAAAGAGATATAATGATTATGTTTTTAGGTAAAATTGAAACAACGTTACCATCGTGATATAATTCTAATGAACAATCGCTAATATGAATAAAAAGTGACAAACTTGTGCTTTGTAATAAATTATTTTTTTACCGCCTGCTTGAAATCATAATTATAGTGATACTATATGTTTTCATGAAAATTTTGTAATCTATGTGTCATTTTCTTTGAGATTCATTTACTTATACCATACTATACTAAATAGGCACTAAAACATAGTTCAATGTTAATGGGAAGTAATTGTTTAAAATATTAATATTTCTGATTGGGCTTCATTTCATATTGATTATTGATTAATAGGTGATTCACTAAAATAAGTGATTGCTGCTGAAGAGACAGATGTAATACCAAATATCATATGGAAATTACTTCAGGTTTTGATGAATGTCGGAGTGATTATAGGATCGTAATAGTTTTCTAGGACAACCATAAATTTAATAGTATATTTATCGGTCAGTTTATAGGCTGTATCATAATTATTACGGGTTATAGATAATACATGTTGCTTACATGATGAATGAAGTTCTAGTTAAACAGTAGTTGTTTATAAAGATTTCACGGAATATCTGATCGCAACATGTAACACTATTAAGGTTTAATTTATTATCTTGCGATCAATTCATGATTACATACGAATTATCTTTTATTGTAACGTCACACATATCTACACGTGACTTGCAGACTGAAATTAAACAAACTATAAAATTAGATCAATCATTGAGCTCAGAATGAAGTATTGTCCACAAGTAAGATAAACAATATAAATTGATTTGTGACTGTTTCATTAATAATGTTTATATACTGATGTGAAATTATTTCATTATATTGATATTTGTCGGAATTTATACAGCATTTTAGTTGCTTCCCGAGTCCATGTAGCTGTATATGTTTAAATTCGAGAAGTTTTCACAACAAACGCCATGGCATTTGAACTGAATGGTACTGGGTTCCAGTCCCAGAATGGACATCAACATCCGGCTGACGAGTCCCGAATATGGCGAAACGCACATCCTAGATTTCACTGCTAGCCACCATACATATTTGTTTACAATGCTTGAGCCACATTTTTTGTCTTTATTTCTCGTCGTTATGTGGCGAAAATAACTCTTGTATCTAACAAATACTGTATATAATTCATTCAAGTTAAGGTATGCAGAGATTAACGAATTTTATAGTTTACAACATCATCATCATCAGTACTTACTATTATTCTTGTTTCCATGCGTTTTAGACGTGAAGCTTCAAGTGTTTTTATTCATAATGATTGTGTATACGTATGCGGTGGAGCTAATGAAACTGGTTGTGTAAATACCACAGATATATTTTCGTTGAAAACTACAATTTGGAGTAAAGGCAAACCAATGATTTTACATCGGGCATTTGCTGGTAATATATTTTTACTGTCAATTAATATTAATCTAATATCTCATTGAATAAAATACGATTTGTTCTTTAAGAACGCATAAGTTTTACACTGCAAAATAATGCTCAACAGTTGCTAACTCTAGGAGTACTAGGTTTTTAGTTCGTTGTACTGAAATCAAAAATCTTTTATGGCATATTATTATTTGTATTTATTGTCTAGAAAAACATTCGTAATTATGCCTTATTCAGGTTGAAAGTCGTCAGATGACACCGAATGAATTAAACTCGATTCATTTTAATTATTTACATTTACTTTTAATCAAATTATCAAATCAACTGTTTCTTATGTAATAACGATCGGTCGACAAACAAGCCTGATATAAATTGTTTTATCATATAAACTGAATTAGAAATAGTTTTTAATGAGAAAAATCTTAAAATGAAGAATTTTATAAAATGTACTGATTAACTATGGGTGACCTGGATATTCTAAACATTAATGTCTAATCTTTCATATGTATTAATATAGTTTGGAGCTTCATAGTGATCATTTCACACTGAAGATAACAGACTGATCTGAGTTGAAAAACCATTAGGAATCGAGATGAATTGAGAGGGACGTTTCATCCTAACTTGCTACTGATCATCAGCACGTGCCTATGACCTTGAACGATTTTGTATTTAGTTTATCTCAAGAACAGGGAATATTAACAAGTAGATTAAAAAGAACTTACTTTTCTAGTTTTGTAGAGAGATGCTTTGAAGAAAAACCTCAAATTAGATTTATCACTGTTTAGTTTGACAAATTAATCAGAAACGACAGATTATAACAGTTAAGTTTGTATCAACAATTAGTATTCTGTCTACAAGGTTTCCTAATTTTTTAAATGTCAAATTAAGTAGTGGAGAAGATTTGTAGTTCAGGTGGAGTTTTGTTCTCTGAGCTAGATGATCTGGTCGTGGAGCTTCAGGTAAAAGCCTGATGTTTGTGCTGATAATGTCGTTCAGAAAAACAATGAAAGCTCCACGGCCAAATCATACACTTCAGTGAACAAAACTTCATCAATAAAATTAAATCTTAAAACTTAAGGATTTATATTTAATGTTTTCTTTTCCGTTGAATAATTAGCTACACGTATATGGAATGATTATATCTTTTTAATTGGTGGTCGTAACAATATGGAACCATCAAATTTAATTCAAACTTACAATTTAAAAACAAATGAATGGGCCGTTTTACCACAAACATTACCATATCTTGTATCAAATTGTTGTGCTATAACCACCAGTTTATTATAAACCATAAATTTTTTGAATGTTTAAAGTTCAGAAAATGAACTGAAACTTTATTATTAATGTGTAATTTTGTATTTAAAAAAAGACAAAAATTTAACTCTGTATTCATATCTAGTTGTAATATAATTTTCAATAATTAATATGGTTACACATTACCCATACTGAAAGGGGGGGTGAGCGTTTCATCAGTATCATGTAGTAATGTGTATCGATTTCCACTATGTCATATGATTGGCTGGCTGACAAATATGTAATGAAGAAGAAATAATTTCATGCCAAATTAATGGTGTTTCATAGACAGCTGAAGGATCTAATGGTTGAACGTTTAATTTATTGGAAATGTTTGGAGTCGCTACAAATCACTATCTATTAGACTGTCTTAGAATGACTGATGTATACTGTCGACTGATATCAGTGATTAAAATAATGTATTTCATTTATGTGTATATATGATAAAGCTTGTAATGGCTGGTACTATGTCAAACACACATAGGTTATTTTAGCTTCTGGCCAGACCAATTTATTCATTCTTCTCAAGCCATATTTTGACATCGTCAATAATTCACTTATTAGCCTTGAATTTTTATATGATCGTATATCTTTAATTGCTCAGCCTATTCATTATGTGTTTGCAACTTATTTTGTTTGAATATAAATATTGAGTCACGCTTTATCAAAACGAGTTGGTTCATTCGCATTCTCCAACGCGCGTAATTTCGTTCAGTTTCTCTGATTGTCTTTCTGGAATGATTAGTGTATGGCATATGCACGTATTGGAAGTCCATTCTCGTATTTGAATTATTTAATCCCATTATTAACCAACGTGATTTAAGTGGATGATTATATACAACGGTAGCCAGGATGTATCTTTTAATAGTAATCATCGTTTGATATAACTGGGGTCAGATATTGGGCCATTAAATGCTATATTAAAAGATTGTTTTTATTTATTATTACAGTTGTAACGAATGTAGATAATCTACTATGCAATGATTTGACCACCTTAAATTGGACATTTTTGTCTCCATAGGTAACCTGCTCTTATAAGAACTTTGGTGAGTCTATTTTGAAGCCATTTATGTGTACCTTGGAGTTGTTAAATTTTTACACAAGCTCTACATAGATAAAAGATGTTTTAAAACTGCTTTTCTTTACATGTTTGTACTCTCCAAACAGCTCCGGTTTTATTTTCACTCAAGTCATTCTTATTTTGACTAAGATTTCGACAATTTGATGAATGTGTAGGCTGTTCGACATGAATCATTATATATTTTCATTATTGTTGAATATTAAACAAAAGTAATACCCAAAAGATATTGAGAGCACTCGTTCCATATATTGTAAGTTTAAATAAACTACTCGTCATAAAGCTTATGAAAATTAGAAATGACTGGAACTTAAATTCCATTTGACGACTTGCTTCAATTATTTGAATGAGGAAGTGTTACAAAGTATCATGGTGAAGTTTACAATGTTCGCTAAACTGCATTCATTGTTTAGGTTCTCGAAATCAATCCGACAGAAAATCATCTCCAAACTTTATTCAAACCATCAAGGCTATACATGGCTATTGAAAGACTCAACAGAGGGAGTTTCTTTCTAACATTTTTTTACTTTCACGATTTAATCATACATGAACATACTGCCTGAAACGTCTAATCTATTCGCCATTTAGTGTTTTTGTCATTAGTGTATTCAATAAAAGCTCTACATTAATATTCAGCCAGTTAGTTTGCTTAGCTGAAAATTATGTCTTTTATTAGGAAATGTCATTTTCTGACAATCTACGTTTATAATACATGGACTAAAATTAGACTATAAGAGTCTGAAGGTGACTCCATTTTAGAATTCATATCACTTAATTGCTCACAAATACTATCTATTTCGCTCCATATATTGTGGTGGACCAGACAATATATAAAAGCAAAAGATATCAACAAAGTTAATAACAATCAATAGTAATATTAATATATACAAGTTAAATGTTACAAATACAATAAAAATGGGACTTTACTTAAGTTCACCCAAAATGATGCGTGTTCGGCTTTGATCTGGTACAATAAATCCACAATTATAGATGCTTAGTAATTCCAAACGTATCGATGATCTCCCCAGTAGTGTAATCCAAAGTAAGATATGGTGTATTCACTTTCTCAGTCTATGAATGTAAATAATATTTGTTGTAGACCTAAGTTAACTAAATCTCGAATGAAAACAGAACGAGGGATGTGTGAGTAGTAATGTATTTGTTAGCCAGAAAGAATATGTCACGCTATGTTGGAATCACAACGGAAAGTGTCTTCAAGGTCATTGACTAAAACAACACGTACAGTCATTTAATGATGAATGTACATACAGTGAAAAATTGACAAAACAAATACAAATAATATTAAAAACTATTTACAAAATGAGCTTGTCAGTCATATCTCCACAATATTACCTATGCTAATGGATCTTTATGTGGAGCTCGTTAGTAAACTAGATACTGAGTCATCCAGCGGCATATGTGGTGTAAGTACGATCCCAACATAGTCTGTTGTAAAGGTAGTTTAACTGGTATGGCATAAAGTTTATAACAGAGTTGTTTTTACTCGAAGTAACAGGACTCTTCCGGGCTCGTTTTTTCGATAGGCTATCCATCTTAATATTAGTGGTAATCCCAATGTCTATGTACATGCCATGTACCAGGACTAAAAAATAACCATATACTTTTATATCAGAAGCCGTATTTATTGTAACGCAAAGATCAAACGTACCGCTTATTAATCAATATCTTATCATCCATTAATTATGATTGGAAAACACATATTAGCTATTTTAAAGCTTTTTTTCTATATTCAGATAGGTAACGATAAATATTGTTTAACTAATCTCGCCCAAAGGCGTAATATTTTTAGACAAATAAATTTTTTCTTGATTTACCTAAACACTTTCTTTTATATAATAATATCATTAAGTAATGTATCCATTTAATATAAGCGAATTATGCCAATAATTTTGTCCATTATTATAGATATAAATCATAAATAATATTAACATTATTTAAGATTGAATTTATAATCAGTCATGAATGGGAACTACAGAAGTGGTTGTAATTATGTACAGACAATAATAAACATTAGACTATGTCGAGACTATAATTTATGGACGAGCCAATCAGATAAGAGATAACTGATCTGGAATTTGGGTGCGATTTTCATTCCTCCATTTGAATACATTGAGTTTTGGCATTATAGCTGATGTTAGTTCGTGATGAAGACCCTAAATATAATTTCTAGCATTAACCATCAACTGTAAATCATAATTCTAATTCCTCACACTGGTTTATAACCGCCATTTGGTGGACACTCTCAAGGTCACTTCAGCGCCGCTTAAAGGTCATCCATAAATTATAGTCTCACCTAAACTATAGTGGATTTGCATGAAGTACAATTTTTCATTTAGTCAAAATAATTATTGATAAATTAATACAAACTAAAGAAACTAATCTGAAATGAAAAATTACTTATTCTAGAGAAGTTTTGTTTTTCCATGATTTTAAAAAAAAGAGGTTTATTTTTTCCCCTTAAAGTACATTATCGGATAAATCATTAACATTATAAAAGAAATAGGCGGTATATTAAACTGAATTATTTTTATGGATTATTGTGTATATTTACATATAAGTTTATTAATATTTAGTAGTACTTATTTGTTTACATGGTTCAAAAAATACTTGTCACTTGACTTTTTTTCTTTCCATTATCAGGAAAAAAAGATTTATGTTTTGTTATGTAATATGATATGAAAGCATTTGATGCGTAAAGTTTTAGGGCACTAAGATTTGGTTACTTATTCTCTGAAGAAGTAACTTACACTAAATCACGAAACGTCAGAAAATTTAATTTTTCTATTCATTGGGGCATTACAAAAATATTATTTATTTATTTATAACAATCTATCCAATGCTCAATTTATTCGAAATTATCAAATCAAACCTTGGTAATGATACATGATTAATGATAAGTTGAGTAGTAACAGTTATTGAATAGGTATCTTCTCGATCCAAGTTAGGAATGTATACCATTTATGGTAACTTGATGATCACAAAGTTAGGCACTCATCATGAGGCCTAAGTGTCCTAGGTAGAATTTTTGTTGTCCCCTGCTGAATCCTGTACTAAAAAGAAACAACTATCCAGTGTTTCGTAGTTTTCAATGATACATATATTTGATATCAGTATGAACATTTGCAATTTATTCATTAAATGGATAACATTAATCATTTTAATATATATTTTGTGTTCATTACAATCTAATATAAGCTCAAGAATGAAATACAAAAATTTACTGAATGACTATTTTGTTATCTTCCTTTCATTTATTTAGAAATTTGTAAACCATCCAGTACAGAACCTTGTGGTCTTTTCCATTTCAACCCATAACCAGTTATTTTTCTAGTCTGTAAGAATAAATTTTTTGGAATAGATCATCAGAAGTACTAGATATAATAATGAAAAGAATTGTATTTGAGTTCTAGAGATGAAGAAACTACAAAGCGAACCTTATTTTAAGCCAATATAAAGAAAGATAAAAATATCTAGCAACTCAGGACTCAGATCATTCAACAATTAACAAACATATTAAGACAAAACCAATAATATTTAGCATTAAGAAAATGATAAAAAGTTTGTAGTAAGTTCAGGAATCAATAAACAATCAAAATGAATGAATAGATATCGATAACCAAGGTGTTGTTAAAAGAAATTATTGTCGACAAAATGATCTGTTTGTTACTTATAAATAAACGGATTAGACATTTTTTAACTTTTGTACGGATACTATTTAGAAAAACAGTGAGATTTTTAGTGGTAGACTGTTATGCACAGGAAACCTGATCTCATTAAAAATGAATAACACTTCGTAACAATGTCAGTTATTTCAAAGTAATTATAAAGACTAACTTATGTTTGAGTTTAAGTCTATATTATTCCGAATGGAAACGAAAGACTTGAAAATAAGACCAT